AATATCCAAAATAAAGTAAATTGTTAAATAATCCTCTACTGATTAAAGATAAAAGATAAGGAACCTAACAATATTTATAGTATAAGTGGGTTACTTCTCTCCTTGTCAATTAATTGATTTTGAGATGAAACTCATGAATATTTATACCATCAATAACAAACAAAAGTAAACTGCTCATAAAAATGATGTTGGTTTTTTAAGGTGTGAAAGAAAGTGAAACTTAAAAGAAATTATTCACATATACGTTGTGAATATTATTCTTATTTATTATTACAGTGGTTTTGTTTATTAAATTTTAAGTTATTTCATTATTTTGTTAAAGTTACAAATAAATGTGTTAAAGTTACCTATGTCACATATGTAAAAATGTTACATATGTGTTTAATTTTGAGTGAGATGTTACTTGTTTGTACAATTATATATAGTTGTGGATTTCTTCATTTTGAGATATCCAAGCATACCTCAATTGAGTATTCTCCTCCTCTCACAAAAATTCTCTCTTCTTTTTGAGTTCTTGTTCTTGTTTGTGTTGAGAGCAAATGTCTAAGAGTTCTACCAGATCCGAGTAGTTCAAGGTTGCAGTTCTACCGGAGTTAGTCGTTGTATCCTGCTGAGACGATCGCTGTAGTCTGCTAGCAACTTTTGCAGAGCGAATAATTGTCTTCAGGTTAGCGCTATTGAAGCGTGCCTCGACTATTTTATCAAGTTTTGGTGTTCATCAAGTTGTTCAAATTTATATCATTTGTAGCCAGTTACGTTGTAATTTATTTGTCAGTACTACATAGTTCATATATACAATGTATATTTACCCAACAAATGACACAATAACAAAGAATAATAAATCGCTTAGGGTGTGTTTGGAGTGATTCTGACATAGCTAAAATCTCTTTTGTCATTGTCAAAATCATTTTTCTTTCCATTGATCATGTTTGATAAATTAGAAAATTGATTTTAGAAAAGCTTAAAATTTAAATTGATTTTTAAGGTATGACTTGGATGATGATTGTAGAAAATCAATTATACTTAAATCTCTTTTTTCAAAATCACTCATTCTACCAATCACTCCCAAATACACCCTTATAATTATAAATTAGTGATAACCATATATCAATTACACAAATAACAAATTGCTAATAACCATGTATTAATAAGGAGTAACAATGTATCAACAGCAAAGAAGAGTAAATCATTAATTACCATAGTAAAAAGAGAATTACATAAAATTTTCGAAAGAAGCGTGCTGAGGAATTAAAAAAAAGCTCGAGTATTGACTTTTACCCACCTTTTTCAAACTCGTGTTTTCACTCACATCACCTAGATACCAAATGACCTTCACTGCCCTTTCACTAATATTTTAGATTTCTCTCCCTTATTTTCTCTCTCTACCTCCATCTCCCCCTTTTTCCACAATTTTTTCCCTCTATTTTCCATTAATACATCCTTTCCTTGTTTTATCTTTCTTCTTTTCTTCTCTTTTTTTATTCTTTTCTCTTTCTCCCTTCCTCAATTATGATGAGTCTTTTTCTCTCCTTCTCCCTAAAATTTTCTCGGGTTTCCTTCTTTCCTTCTCTTTTTTCTAATTACTATTATTCTCTTTCTTCTTTACCCACCACAAAAAGCAATTTACTCTAAGAAAAACCCTAAATATCTCAGCCTTTTCTCTCTCTTTTTTTTTAACTAGCATCCTCCATGATTCCGGTGAACTTCAACAATCGTCAACGAGGAAGGTCGTTCGCCTTAAAAGGAGGCTCAGGGGAGGAGGTTGTTCGGCCTACGATGGGGGATGAGGAAGGAGATAAAGAGAGAGAGTGTGTGAAAGAGAGAGATAGCGTGAAAGAGAGAGAGAGAGAGCGAAACAGAGAACGAGAGAGAGCGAGAAAGAGAGAGAGAGCAAGAATTCATATGCCATTATTTTAAATTTTTGATTCGATAGTATCTAAAAGTAGGATTTTTAATGAGATTGTTTTTTATAATATCAGGAAATAGATTGAGAGATTGTTTTTCTTTTTTTATTCGATAGCATCTAAAAATTTGACAGTATCTGTTTTAATGAGAGAAAGAGCTAGAGAGAGGATCGAGAGGAGAGTGATGAAGAAAGACATTTAATTCACATAACTTAATTTATTAAAATCTATTTATAAAATGAATAAATTTTCTAAATCATTGAATTAATTTTGAATGAATGTTTATCAATTCAATGTCATTAAATAAATTTATAAGGTTTTTTCAAAAAAACAAAAAAAATTTATATGGTGAACGATTTCAAATGTTTTGAAATAAAATGTCATTTATCTAAAAAATAATAATAGTAATAATAATAAAATTTGGTTAATTAAATGAAATCATAAACAAGATTAAATCGATCCGAACTAAATAAATATCGAAACAATTGGATCAAATTCAAATTTAAAATGGTTAACGAATAACCTAGAGATTAAAGATTTTTTTAATTAAAATTTGAAAATTATAATTAAGGAAACATAATCTCAATCTCTTTAAATCTCTTGTAGTTTTAATTATGATTGGATATCAAATTTAAAATTTAATTCACTTTATTAACAAAGAAAATCTATAATCTCCAAGTCAAATTTCGCTCCATTCATAATTTAAAACTTAATCAAATTATATGAAAGTTTCAAATTTAAAATTTAATTAAAAAAATCTGAGAGAGAGAGCACCGCGAGCGTGATAGATCTAAGTGCGAATGAGAAAGATCTGAACAAAATAAAGAGAGATACGAAATGGGTGTTTTGTAAAACCCAAGCGAAAAAAAGAGAAGAAGGCGGAAGATTCTACGAAACCCAAATGAGAAAAAAAAAGAAGAAGGTGAATTGTGAGGGCGATTGTGAAATGGGTGTTTGAGAGGGAGAGAAAAGAGATATAATAGTAGAAACTAAAAAACCGTAGGGGAAGGAAGAACATGAGAGAAAAAATTGGAGGAGAAAGGGCAAGAAAATGAGAGAGCAACAAAAAAAGATAAGAGACGGGATGGAGGGTAGAGATAATGTAGCGTTTTCAAATAAGGATGTAAATTAAAAAAATTAGTAGAAGGGTAGTGAAAGTCAATTGGTGTCCAACCTGATATAGATTAGAAAACATGAATTTTTTTTTAAAAAGTGGTAAAATCAATACTCTCTTGAAAAATGGTATTCAGCCCAAAAACTCAATCTTTATCGATATTATTTATTTATTTATTTCAAGTTCAAGTATTACAATAATCAAATTATTCATTATTAGTGAGTAAAAGTAGTCTTATCCACTCGGATGGATCCACATTTACAAGTATGCCAACTCAACAGCATAAAATAAATATATATTTGGGGTTTTGTAATGGGTAGCATATAAGTTTTCTATATTTAACAAAATAACATATCTTTTTGATATTTTCAGATATAGCAGTTTTTTGAAAATCCTGATTTTAAAATTTTCAGTATTCCCAAATTACCCTCTTCAGTTATCGTTTCATTATTATATATCAAACATATATCACATATATATCAGGAGTATATCTGACAACATTAGTATATCAGAAGTAAATCAATAGTATATCAAAAGTCAATCAATTATATATCAGTTGTATAATAGTAAATCACTATTTTACCTTCTTTAACCCTTTGTCTTGTATTTTTTTGATCAATTATAAATTAGTAGGTATTGGCATGCATGAAAAATGAGAAAAAAAATTTGATACTTATTGAAAATGAGAAAGAAAACTTGAAAGGAACGTGAATGTGAATGTCAATGGTGATTTTCGAAATTACTGTGAGTGAGAAATCAATTAGAAATTAGAGGTAAATAGAAACTTAGGGTTTTTCTGTATATCAATAATATATCGGTGATATATCAAGTATACATTGTAAATATATCAATAGTACAATTAAGTTTTATTTAAAGTTTTAAAGATCAAAATAAAAGCAGCAACAATGTCATTCTTAAAATGTTTAAATATCATTCTTAGGTATCAACATCAACGTCAAATCAGCAGTAAACTCCTTCAACCAAAAACTTAAAAGTTTAAACATCAAAACGAACCAGTAGCATAAACCAAAAGTAGACTAACAATGTCATTCTTAAAATTCTATAAAAGAAGGAGGATAAGTTCCAAAAGCATAAGTTCCAACAGTCTAGAAAAGCGTAAGTTTCATTCTTGTATAATCTTTAGGTAAAAGCTTGGGACATCAATCTTCGTTCTTGGTGATTGTCGTGTTTTCGGAGATACTATCTTTGAAGCTTTCCGTTTTTCCATAGACAACACTTTTGACGTTGGTTTATGTTGTTTTTTGGGACGAACCACATCAACATTTTCGACGATGTTTTTTTTTTATTTCATTTTTCGTGTTTGTACCATTGCTTTTATCTGAAAAAAAAAATATTTCATATATTAGTAGTATATCATAAAACATATATTAAAGGTAATATGTTCGAAATAATTGGTAGATATCATAGTTATATAAGAAGTAAATCAATAGTATATAAGAACTCAATCAGTTTTATATTACCTATAGTAGTAGATATCATAGTTATATCAGAAGTAAATCAATTTCATATCATATGTATATCAAACATATATCACATATATATGAGGAGTATATCTGTTAATCATAGTTATATCATAAGTAAATCAACAGTATATTAAAAGTCAATCAGTTCTATATCACCTATAGTAGTATATATCATAGTTATATCAGAAGTAAATCAATTTCATACCATATGTATATCAAACATATATCACATACATATCAGGAGTATATCTGTCAAATCATTAGTATATCAGAAGTAATTTATTGTTGGTTCGGACCTGCAGGATATATTTGTAATTTAGAACGTGGGTCTCCGTTTTTTGCAAAAAAAATGCTATATTTGAAAAATCCAAATCTTATTGCTATTTTATTTATTTTCCTAACATTTTTTACCATATCTCAGGTTGCCCCATCTCTGGTCAATGTTCCAATACTTGTTAACGAAGTTCAAAGCACAGGTTTGTTAGTATTACTATATTACGCGAGGAAACAAAAATTGTACGGCCAAGGGTTTTGATAGTGGAAAAATGGCTCTCTGACCTCCGCGATAGAATTGAGCCGCGAAGACAAGGCGAGACGATGCTGCGACTACAATGGCTTTCTTCTTCTTTGCTTCCACCATTATTAAACCCCGAGCTCTCGCCGGAAACCTCGCATCTTTGTCCCAACCGTAGACTCTGTACCCTTAATTCCTCTCGTCCACTCCTCACTCTAACCGCTACACGAAAACCGTCTCCAAAATGCCAATACTCATGGAGCACGCAGCAGCAGCAGCCGCCGCCGTCCGAACCTGGTTCTCAGGCCCATTCATTTTCTCCACAAACTCGCGCCGGAGGTACTTCACTATCTCTTATCCTGTGGGTCATACAGAGTGACAGCAGGAAACTGGTGCTATTTGGGATTTTTGGTTTATGTTGGGAAGAAATTTAAGTATATAAGCTCACCCTTATGACATTAGAAGGTGGGTTTATTGAGACAAGACTCAATTGGAAAGGGTTTCTCCAAGTCGAAATTCAAGGGGCTTTTTAGTTTCTTTATTTAGTCTGTGGTAGTTGTTTTTGATTCCTCGGGTTCTGAAGTATAATGGTTTGGCTTGTTTGTAGCTGCCGGAGCGTTGCCGCCAAGGTTTTTTGTCGGTCATTCGATATACAAAGGGAAGGCCGTTCTTACGGTGGAGCCTAGGCCTCCAGAATTTACACCTTTGGATGTATGTTTGAGTTAAATTCTGTGTTCGTCATAAGAATATGTTCTTGAGCTTCGTCATAACTCATGATGGGCTGTTTTTCTTTGTTGTCAGTTTTGTGAGGTTCTTAATCTTTTACAAATTTGCAGTCAGGGGCGTTCAAACTATCCAGGGAAGGATTTGTATTGCTTCAGTTTGCCCCTGCAGCTGGTGTTCGTCAATATGATTGGAGTAGAAAACAGGTGTTCATTAACATTAACTAATGAGATGTTGACTCTTAAAGTTATTGAAGTTTTTGAATTAATGAGGTAAACTGCATATCTAGTTTAATGCTGATAACTATTCCACAGGTTCTGTTTTTGGCCTCTTGGAGGTGTGGGGAAGTAGTATTTCCATGATGGAATAGTTGATATTGAAATACTAACCCATGTTTAGGGAGCTGTGAACAAAAATCTCTCTCGCTTTTTTTTTAATACTTAGTATAGCTCAATTGTATCATCAACGAAAAAATTGTAGGTTCGAATCCCTACTCCCACGTATTGTTGTACACTTGTACTGAAAAAAGGTATGGAACTATTTTTAAGAACAATAATTAGATGATTTCATGTAAAGGTTAATATCATTGTGCATTTGAAATCACTATTTTTGAACTTGTATATTTTGTAACAAGAACTTTAAGTGTTCTCAACGAGAATAAAATACAAAGACAAAATGAGAACTTCTTGTGAAATCAATTCCATAGTTTTTTTTTTGATACATTGCTGAATTAGATTACACTTTGTCTTGTTTATAGGTATTCTCATTATCAGTGACGGAATTGGGAAGTCTAATTGCCCTTGGCCTGAGAGACTCTTGTGAATTTTTTCACGATCCCTATAAGGGAAAAAGGTACTGCCTTTTTACAAGAACCATTAAAATGCCATGGTTGATTCTTGAATGAAGTTAGTTTCTTCTGTTGTGCCATGTTGATGTTTATGTATTTTTTGATTCTTTGGTTACCACAAACATTTATACCATTGTCTTGCGACTCTGGCCAAGCATGGTTTCTCAGGTCTCAGAATTGCATTGCATCGAACATTGAGAACAATGATGTTATGAATCTTGATCTCTCTAGTAGCCAAATACCACTTCTTGCATTTCATAAAATAAATAAATTAAAAAAAAAATCCCACTTTGCATGTACATTCTGGCCATATTTACGTCATAATTTTCATCTGGTACAGATGAGTGTTTGTAAACAAAGCTTTGCAGGTTAGAAAACCTAGTGTTTTATGATGATAAGAGATGATAAGATATTTGTTCTGCAGCGAGGAAGGGAAGGTCAGAAAGATATTAAAAGTGGAGCCTCTTCCGGATGGTTCTGGCCATTTCTTCAATCTCAGTAAGTCTTGTATTGAAACCTTTAAGATTCATTTGAGATTGATCCTGATGCTGAATTCTGCTGCATGTGTATATCCAACCGGATTTAATTAGTTGGAGCCTGGAATCATGTATGTCTCATTCATATCTGTCATTTTATTTTGCAACCACTGTTCTTTATACTCTTCCTTTCATATCTTCAACCATGACAACGCATTCTATCAAATACAAATACTAAAAAAGAAGCGTTAGAAGTAGTATGATAAGTTAGTATGTGTGAGGGGGTGCATCTTTTGTATAGATTTAGCTGTGTGCTGCGTGGTTAGAAGGAGCATAACATTGATTTGCTTATTTCTAGTTCAATAGATAACTAGATTTCAGTTGTCCTGCTTTAATTTGCTTCTTTCTTAGAACTCTCGAATAGTATTAAAAATCTGTATTGTACTCATTACCCTGTGGTTTTCTTATTTTGAAGTTCAATAAATAATCTATATGTTTTTTTATAAGAATAAATAATCTATATATCAATCGTAACAATTGCCATTTGAATATAGTAGTTGATAGGTTGTCTATTCCTAATGAAACTTGATGATTTTTCTAATTTCTTTTTTCCCATATAACATTGATCCTGTAAGCTGTAATGATTCTAGAGAAAGTTTGTTATTTTTTCCCTTACCTTTTCTATTCTATTTTGCTGCACAAGGCGTTCAAAACAAGCTAATCAACATGGATGAGAGCATTTATATTCCCATCACTAAAGCAGAGTATACCGTACTTGTTGAGGCTTTCAAGGTATAAGTTCTTCCCTGTTTACATGCAGCACTTTCTTGCCATGCTTGTCTGGTTTATGATTGATATCAAATGAATTATATGGCAAGCTGCCTGTGTATGATTTGGGGGGTTCAAGTCGAAACAGAAATAATCGAGAAAAAGAATCCCTTAACTGACCAAAATCAGTACCAAATTGTATTGGTTTGTTCGGTTTCATTAGGTGCAAAACTGAAAACTAGTCAGTTGATTCAGTTTGAATCAGGTTTGGTTGGTTTGGTCTGGTTTAAGGCACTGTTCAGTTGGTCTTGGCCAAAAACCGAGCTGAACCGACATACTTGTCCTGATGACGTTTTTTATCCAAATCATGTGATTGTAATTCATAAAATGGATGTTTAAGGTTGGATTTGTGTGCAGTTTATCCTGCCTCACCTTATGGGTTGGCATATGATTTCGAACACCATGACGAGGGCAGAAGATAGCGGCCGAGTAAATAACGCGAATCCTAGATATGGTGGAGACTTTGAATGGAGCAGATAGTCTTCTCTCTAGCTTTTCATAACTTGGGGATGATTGTTGTTATTGTAATCTTTCACCAGTTTTTATTTTATTTTTTTTGAGAAGATATTTTCACTAATTATATGGTATGATAGATCAGTCACTTTTTTATCTATGGGTCTTTATATATACTCACACACAAGTTTTTTACCACAAGCCTTGGCTTTAAAATATAAATTAATAAAATTTGTGTATGATTAGTAATTTTATTATCGTATACTTTAATTGAAGGGACAATTATAAATATGTAAAAAAAACATTTAGTAAAATTAGTAGAATAGCAATCACATTTAATTTTTTCAAATATAGCATTAAAAAAAACAGAGTCTAATTTTAAAATAACAATTTTACTATATACATCTATAATATATTTGATTATTGGTATATGTATGTGATGTACATATTATGTATTATTTCTATTATATACTATTTATATGAGTGTCTGATATACTTGTAATATTTATGTGATATATATTTGATATACTATTGATATGAGTATACGATATACTATTGATATACTATTCATATAAGTAAACATTTTATACTATTCATATAAGTAACTATTATAGTAAATATTTGAAAATTAAGAAAATAGGTGACATTTTGAATTAGATATAAGATTTTTGCTACCTTAGGTTTGTCATTGACTCTCTTTTATCAATTTCGTACACTTTTAATGGATCCAAAGGGTTTGAATATTTTAATATTTATTCTTCCTAATCTACTATGTTTTAATTGGAATGTAACAATTCAAAATAGAAGGGACAAGTTATTTTTTTAATGTAAAATGTAGAAATATTAATATGAATTGTATTAGCTAACCTATAACTATGAAGATATTTGATAAAATGAATTTAATTTCTTTGAAATTCTTGTGTGGACACCTACTCCGGATTTAATGTCCTACGAGTTTCCTTAACAATCAAATATTGTAGGGTCGGAGAATTGTTTATTACGTACTAAAATACTATTTGATTAATGATTACTTGAATCTCTATTTTTTTATATTTATATTTTATATAAAAATATAAAAATGAAATAATTGTTATGAATTGATTATAATATCTCCAAGTTGAAAAAAGAATCCAAGTTGAAAAAAGAATCAGATGCACATTCACCAATCAAATCATGTATTCTATCATACACAATATGATAGATCTTTTGAAGAACTGATTAATCAGATGCAAATCAAATAAAAATAGAGTTCTATTCTACATGTCAATACTGACAAAAACGAAATTTATAATAAAGAAGAAAATTCGTCTGACTTTAAAAATCATGAGGGAGTCCCCCATCTCCAAAACCAAAAAGGGCCCGCCGGCCACTTTAATTATTTATCCTCTTATTAGAAATTTACAATTCTATAGGTTTCTCATTCATTCTCTTATTTCACAATCGTATCTAAGCGGAAATTTTGTTTCTTACCACAGGGCTTGTAATATATATTATATATATGATACATGTAAAAATGACATCCTTGTACAAGGAATCCCCGTTTGGATGGCTTGGGGACTCAAGGAATATCCTTGAAGTCTTGGGTTCAAGTCACATGGAATGTAACTCCGTCAAACAATGACCCTTTGCGTACATACTACGTTGATGCATAAATTCCTTACTAAGATTAGCACGGTTAATGATATCATCTTAGCCCGATATTAAATTACATGACCTTGACTATCAAATATTGATCGATTGAAATTGAAACCATTTATACTGGCTAACCGGGTACCTACTACAGGCAATATATACCCATATTGTCAACCAATATCAACATCCATAACTAGATACCTACTGCAGGCAATATATACCCATATTGTCCACGAATATCAACATCCATAAGAATAAAAATATATATATACTTTTATTTATTAGTTATGCATTCAATTCAATATTTGTTTGTCTATTAGTTCACCGCTCACCGCTCTTCTCTTTGTCATAGGGTAGAACAGCTTGGTAGCTTGCAAGGCTCATACCTTGAAGTAACGAGTTTAAATCCTTTTATAATCTAAAAAATTTAGTTTTGATGTTGGTAACTAGTCATTAATTTCTATTAATAAACTTTTTTTTCTTTCGGAATGGGAGGAAAAGAAAAGAAGGGGAGGATAGAACCACAAGTTTTTCATTAAGAGGAAAAAAAGGAAAGATTTGACTGATACAACAAACACAATACTAAAAAAAATTAAAAGATATAAGAAAAGAGAACAAAAACAAAGTTTATAAACCCAGAAATAAATACCAAATCCTAACATAATAAGTTCTGTTCACAAAAGATTAGAATCTCACAAAAATATTCTAAAGATGTTAAAAAAAAAGAAATGTACAGTTAATTTATAAATCGGTCTCCACTTTCCTAATTCAATCAATAAAAGTTTCTAAATAGAAGTTGCTACTATATAAGTATATATATCCTCTCTATATAAATAAATAATATTTATTATAGATATAATAGATATTATATAAATAGAATTCGTGGATGAATCTTTAAACGAGACACGTGGAACTACACGGCCAACAAGGGTTTCGTCAAGGCGTTTGCAATCTGAGCGATGGAGGGAAGATGCCTGAACCTTTAGCTGGCCTAAGATGACCAAATCACGAACGAACTAGATGTCAATTTATACATGTTTCATTTGGGAGTGTAGTACGGGGTTGGCGCTGAGATGAATGGAGCTAAGGTTATTGCACCAAAGGATCAGTGGTCGAGACGGGATAATATACAGCAAGTGGAAGAGGGTTTTTTCAGCCATATCAATTCAGAAGTAGCAAGTGCCAAAGCACGATACTCCGCTTCTATACTAGATCTTGAAATTATGGCTTGCTTTTTAGATCCCTTGAGATAGGATTGTTACCAAAGTAAATGCAAAAACCTGACATAGACTATCATCTGGGTTTGATGCCCAATCTGCATCTGTATAGCCCTGTAGTGGTAGATTGACTGGTTTAGTAAGTAATAATTCATTATCAAAAGTTCCTTTGAGATATCGAATGATTCATTTAACAAGCTGTCAGTGAGTTTTAGTTGGGGAGTGCATGAACTGGCAAGCCTTGTTGACAGAGAGAAATTTTCGGTCTTGTAAATGTTACATATTGTAAAGCTCAAACGATGGGAATGGATCAGGAAGAGGATCTCCTTGATAGGCAGATAATAGAGAACCTGTAACCATGGGGGTAGCTGTGGGATTTGCATCTAGCATTGTACCTTTTTAAAGTAGATCTGTTATATATATAGAATGGGATAGAAAAATACTGTCAGATGTCGGATTGGAAACCTCTATACCGAGAAAGTGATTAAGTTTCCCTAGGTCCTTCAAAGCAAACTTGTTGTGTAGAGTAGAAATCAATGACTAATTTTCAACCTTAGAGTCGCCCGTAATCAAAATATCATCTACATAGATTAGAATATAACATTAATATGACCTCATGAAATCTGAAAAATAGTGAAGGATCTGTCTTGGAGCCAATAAAATCAAGAAAGGTGAAGTACATGCTTAGTCTTTCAAACCACGTTCTTGGTGTCTATTTAAGGCTATATAACGCCTATCGAAGTTTACAGCTTCAAATTTGATAAGATAAAGCCAATAGGTTGTTTCATGAATACCGTTTCATTAAGAAGCTCATGTAGAAAGGCATTATTAATGTCTATTTGATGAAGGTCCCATCCTTTAGCAATAGTTAGGGTAAATAACACTCGAATTGTGATAAGCTTAACAACAAGACTAAATGTTTCGGAATAATCGATATTCGTCGTTTGATGAAATTCCTCAGCGACAAGTCTAGCCTTATATCTAGAAACTGATCCATCTGAGTCTCTTTTTATTTTGAACACCCATTTACAACCACAACTTTCTGATTCGGTGTTGATTGTACTAACTCCCAAGTGTTATTTTTCATAAGAGCATTATATTCTTCTTCTATGGCCTTTCGCCAATGAGAGTGTTTGAGGGCCTCATTGGCTGTTGTAAGTTCTACCTCCTTATAATCATGAGGTATTTTAGGTTTACAAACACCATTCTTAGCACGAGTGACCATGAGATGTGTATTTAGCGGAGCAGTAGGTGAAGCTTGTGAAGAGACAGATGGCAGATTAGGTATGGATTGGTCTAGGAGGGTGGTTGGAGAAATAAAAGGAAATATAGTAGGTTGCAGATGGGAGGAGAATGGATTGTTAGAAATAAGAGGTGAATCATGATTTGGTAAAGGATGATAGACTATGGGTGGGGCCTCGGATAGATTAAGAGTAGTTGAGGCATGTGATATTAAAGGTGTGAGGTGTTGAGGGGAAGGAATTGGATGGGCAGAGGATATAGATGTAGGCACATAATTGAGAATGGAAGTGGGAGGCAGAGAGTGAGGAGAAGATATATATGGACTAATATAAGAAGATGAATTAGGAGGAGGAATTTTAGGAACATATTTGAGTGCATAGGGAAATGAGGATTCATTGAAAATGATATGTAAAGATGTATATGCGGTTATCAAGGGAAAGACATTTATACCTTTATGAATGTTGTTGCAACCTTAAAAAGATTCAGGGAGTAAATCTAGGTTGGAGCTTATGATTGTTGTAAGGACGAAGCGAAGGATAGCATAGGCACCTAAATGTTTTTAGGAAGGAATAGTTGGGAATTTGGTTAAAAAAAAAATTTCCAAGGGACTTTTCCAATCAAGATTTTGTGATGAAGACGGTGTGAGGTATCTTCCTCACTAAACCTTGGTATTCAAAAGAAAGTTGTCCTTAGGCTTACAAGACTGGCCAATTCGAGAGGGCTGGGTCTCTCCTAATAGCACATAGCTATTCGTACACAAAATACCAAAAAAGTGCCTACCTCCATCGTGAGACTCCTTTACATACATTCCATTCCCTCCACTAAAACGGTACTACTAACTAACTTAAACATAAACTTCCCAAAATACCCCTCTTCCTATGGACCACCCCTCAATTACCCATTCTACCCCTCCTA